AACAACAAGGTAAAAAAAGAACAAATTGAAGGCTTACATAAGGTATCAAAAATAAACCCTGAAAGAGGTGATATTTTAATACAAATATTTTATTATGTTGCATTCAGGCATGTTTACTCTTTTCATTCTTTCACTCATGGGGCCAATTAAACAGTGTTGTTGGATAATGTGTAACAATGTGTCCTATTTCGCATGCTGGCCCCTTTTTTTTACATTTTAAAAAAAAATCTTTTTTAAAAAAAACTTTAAAATCACAATTTAAATCAGAAAACTTTAGTGGAATACTTAGTACAGTATGTACCCTAGTAAAATTCCTCCATTGCTGAAAATTGAACTGTTAATTTACAGCAGTACATTATTATAATTATTATTGTTTCTTATAGTAGCTAATCACGCTGTGTTTGCCAGCATGTTGAGTTAAATCACTTTTCTTAATTGAGGTTTCATTGAAATTTCAGAAAGATTTATGACTTAAATGATAATCTGATTAATTAATCTGGTTTCCCAAAATGCAAAAGTGTAAAATCCCAGGAAAATACTCATTCTATTAAAGTTAGATCTTTTAATGTTAAAAATAAGTTTACAGATACAATCATTATCTTGCTGACTATAGCCTTTTCCTTGTGACAGCTGACACCATGTACACTCTGTATTTCTATTTTCACTCCTGGCCTCCTAAAGCATTTGTGTCTGGGTTTTTTTAACCGCACTATGATAAACGCTGACATATAAACAGTGGGCATGAAAACTTCCATTTAGATATTTCTTTTGTGTATTGTCTCATGTTGCTGCGTTGTGTTGGCTACAATTGCTGCCTCGCTCAAGGTTAGCTCGCCCTGCCGTGTCTGTTTGGCTCTCAGCCTTGAGGAGGCCTGCACGTGTGCAACTGCCTGTCCGGTTGCACAGCGCGGCGAGGGAGGAACACATGTGGGCCAGATTTACGCTATCTGAAGAAGAGCAATTATGCACGGCGAAGTGTGTGTGATTAAAACACATTAGGATTCGAACGGGACGTCCACAGTTAATACGTTGCTGTTTTCTGCTGTTTATCAAGGTGCTCTAAGACCTGACACGTATTTTAGATTACAGCTCGTGCTGGTGGTGGCATTGCTGAAATATGAAGAAGGACTAGTAGTGTTCCCACCTCTACTCCAAAGATTGATGTCTCCTATCCCAAATAGTTAAGAGGTTCTTGGGAGACACTTTGTTATGTGCCAGATGAGAGAGTGAAGATTACATTTATCACATTTATCAGATGTCACGCTAAGTGAGAAAGTAAAGGAGGAAGAGGTATGATAGACATTTCAGTAGGACTGAGGTCTATTCCATCTTTATTTCCAGCCAGCTTTTATCTCATGGGGGTGGGGGTGAGGGGGTTGCGAGCTAAGGAAGGATTCCAGGTTGCAGTTGTGTGGGCCCCTGAGTGGATCCAGCCTGCACCTCCTGCTGGTGCATGAATGCCACTGCACTGCTTGATCACTGTCAGGGTCTGAATGTACAGGAAAGCAATGGATTTCTGTTTGTGGTATCAGAGCGGCTGGAGGTTAATTTCTCTAAGAAGTATTGTAGCATAACTGTTCCAGTAATGTTTGAGTGTTACTTCAGATCATACAGTACACTCATATTTTGCATTTTACTTACAAAAGGTTAGAAATGACCAGTGGCCCCATCTCAAGAAAAATAACTTTTTGGCTTATATTTGTCATCTCTTATCAGATTTGTTTGATGACTTCGCTGAGGGCCGAGAGTGCGTGAACTGCGGAGCGATGTCAACCCCCCTCTGGAGGCGAGACGGTACCGGTCACTACCTGTGTAACGCCTGCGGGCTGTACCATAAGATGAACGGCATCAACAGACCTCTTATCAAACCCCAGAGACGGCTGGTTGGTCACCCACGATTTCATCTTCTCCTTTAGCAAGTCCTGTAAAACCGATGCTTTCATCTCTTTGCTAAATGTCACTCCACTGACGACCGACATGTTTTATCTGTGGCAGTCTGCCTCGAGGAGGGTGGGCCTGTCCTGCACCAACTGTCACACCACCACCACCACCCTGTGGCGACGAAACGCAGAGGGAGAGCCGGTCTGCAATGCCTGTGGGCTCTACATGAAACTCCACGGGGTAAGAGAGAGAACAATGGGAGAACTCTTGCACTCTTCTTCTTCTTTCGGGTGCTTCCTTTCGGGGTCGCTCCAGCCGATCATCTGCATCCATCTCAACCTATCCCTGTATCTTCTTCTGTCACACTTCTTCCGTGGTCTTCCTGGCAGCTCCACTATCCCTCCTCTACACATGTCCAAACCATCTCAGCCTTGCCTCTCTAACTTTGTCTTAAACTTGCACATATGATGCTTTGCAAAATAAAAATTGATGCAGAACATCTAAATGAAAAGACATTAAGAAACTGCATCAAGTCAGTGATCAACTCTTGCCTTAAAAACAGTTTTCCAGCCTTTATGATTGTTAAATGTATATTAATACAGCCTGCGTTTTCTTTAAGGTTCTTTCTTTGTCTTTGTGTCTCGACAGGTCCCTCGACCTTTGGCTATGAAGAAAGAGGGGATCCAGACCCGCAAACGCAAACCTAAGAACCTCAATAAATCCCAAACTGGTGGGCTTCAAAAACACACTTGATTATATTTGTGTTTATATTTAAGAGCAAGCAGGAGCAGAGCTGTAAATGTCGTTTCTCCCCTGTGTTCTACATTAGAGTGATAATTTTCTGCTGTCACCTGTTGTCTTTTGTACTTTCAAACCGAAGAAATAAACGTTTTTAGATTTATCAGTGCAAATGTGATACAGGTTTACGTATCAAGGACGGGTCACATGTGTACAACATCTGTAACCTCACCTGTGCTGTACCCTGCAGGGACACCAGGCAATGAGGGGGCTCCGATTACACCCAGCAGCACTCCCCGCGCCTCCACCACCTCCACCACTACCACCACTGCAGAGGAGACTCGCCAGATAAAGACGGAGCCAGAAAATCACAGCTTGTACACACATCACAGCTCACATGCACAGGTGAGACACCTCAATGGCGAAATCTCGAAGGACATTTACGTTCAAGAAATTTACGATAAACTCAGATTTTTGGTAGACATTAGTGTAAAAATCAATGCTTCCCTAACCACGTGTCACTCAGAGGTAGGGAGGTAGTGGGAAGTGAACAGAAAGATGGCAAAAATTCCACTTCTCATCACCTTCTCCATTATCTCTCCAGATTTCTGCTTTGCCAGCCTACATGGCAACTCAAGGAGGCCCCATTCCCCTGAAGATGTCCCCTGGGGGGCACAACGGGTCCTCTGGCTCCAAAGCTGAACCCTGGAACAGCCTAATCCTGGCTTAGAAAAACCTACAACTCAACATCTCAAAAACCTACCTAACCACAGAATACCTATTAAACTCTCCTGACCGACTCTGGGTTCAGACCATCTGTTTCCTGCCCGCTGTGCAGCGTTGTCAGTGCAGGAACAGAAATCTGGGAGCTACTACAGAAGAAACGAGGTCTTACAGTGCTGCACACACTGTGTGTGAACTCAGAGCAAACAAGGACTTGAATGGACTTTGTCATAGAAATCTGAAAGAAGAGCAGTGACTAGATTCACTCAGTAACACGACAGAAAACTTTTCGTCACCCTCCTCGACAGATAAATACTGTAACATAATACATGACAATAATAGTTATAGTCATTTTTTTTTAAATTAACATTTTTTTTGATTTGCATATGATTGTGGATATTTTGCCAAAAAGGAAAAAAAATGAAAATACACAAAAAATGTTTTTAAAAAAATCACAATTTTTAAACTTAATGTATAAAGTTGCACCACCAGGTTTACAGAAAGTGTATTTAAAGGCCAGCTCAGATACATGTATATAAAAGAACCAGAAATATAGTAGAGTTGACCACTTTCCACTGGTTGTATCAAGGCAATTCAACAGTAGACTTTCTACACATTTTTCTTCATGGTGCTTAAAGCTTTGATTTTTTTTTTTTTAACTGTGTGGGATAAAATCTTCCCTTAGGTTCATTCAAAGAAACTGGCACGCTGTTTTGGGGAAAGTACAGTACAGTGCTTTTTAGGGTTTGCAGGTTTAATTAAAGTACTTTAGAGTACTTTTTTGTAGTTCAGTTGTAATGTAATAAGATTGCAGCAGATGCAAACTATTCAGTGTTTCTATGCTGGTTAAATTCAGCAAACTGAAACAATGAGCAATCTGTTATACTCTTTTCGAACTGCAATAGAAGGTAAAGCAAATATAAAACAGGTTATATAGAGTGTCCCAGGGATCCACGACAGTGGGCCATCTTGCACAACAGTATGTTTTGTCATTGGCAGATCGGTATTTCTGCTGGCAAGAATCTGCAGTTAAAAGGCAAGTGTGTAATTAGCCAATCTAACCCTTGAATGACTATTCCCCCCTAAACTTACTTTATGGGATCCATCACTCCCCAGTGCCAGTTATCCGATCGCTACACGATCTACTACTCAGTGCAATAATAACAGCTCCTTATCACTTTCTTCCATTCAAAGTATGAAAAATACACGTCAGTATTGGCATCTCTTACAACACATGATAAACTACCTGCGCAGGAAGAGTGCACGTGATGATTGTGATGTGGAGGCCACATAGCTCCCCCTGCTGACAGATGCACAGGCATGCAACCACTGGACTTTAATTAAAAGGTTTAGCGCTAAACCACATCACTATCATCACCGTCATCATCGGATTACCATCTACTATATAAGGACTGACCAATAAGCTGTATAAAGGATTAACTGTACAGTATGTTAGCATTACTTCAATTTGCTTTCTAAAAGCATGGAGGCAACCATTGTAAATGTAGGATATTGCTACTGCTTCTATGTAAAAACTCCACTCCAGTATGATCTGTGACATATTGTAGACAAAGACACTAATAAAGACACAGCATTTTGACATAATGCAAACGGTATGCAAAGGTGGTGGAATTCATTCTGTTTCTAACGCCAGTGTCTTACAATAACTTCATCTTCTTCTCAAAAACAGTGGAGCCTTTGAGTCCTCTTAATTTCCCAATTTGTAAAAACTGCTCTGTGATGTTCCCGGTGTTTTTGATAAAAAGCTGAAGGGCACAGTGGTTAAAGTCCTCAGTCAACTTTTCTCTGATGACCTCTGCACACTTGTCCTGTACCAAGTCCCTCCAACACTGCTGAAACGCAAGTCTCATTATATCCTCGAGGCCAGCATCACACGCTTGTGAGCTAAATGTGTAACCAAGTGTAAAAACACGCCCTCTTTCTAAATATTCCTGGAGACTTTCGGTACTCATCGAAAGCAGAACTTCTGCAGAGTCGATCAGTGCCTTCACCCTCTGTGTCAGGATTTTTTTCTCATGCGCTGGTTTGCTTTCAAATATAGAACGCATGCTTTTAAAATAAGTCTTCCTGTCCTGCTTCTGCATGGTGGCTGCAAAGTAGATGTTTTCTTGTTGAGGCCCCAGCAAGCGCTTAAGAAGAGAAAACACAGTTTCACACAAAAGATTAAGATCGGTGCTCATTTCAGCTGCTTTAACATAACTCTCGTAGTCCACAGTTTGATTTACGCATTCCACCTGTTTGTAGTTAACACCCTGAAACAGATTTTCTCTGGTTCCTTTAAAGCCCAAGCACTTCATATGGCCAATATGAGTCTTCACTCCAAGTGCATTCCACCACTCCAGAGCCTTATGAACCAGGTTCAGCATGCACGGGTTGGCATATCTTGCCAAACATGGGCTGTTCACAGTGAAGATGTAGACCTTTACATCTTCAAAGAAACTCTCTGACTCCAGAAGTTCCTGGGTTTGGCTGATAACGAGGTCCTCACTATGTTCTCTACTGCTATAGTTAGGATAATAAGGCCCGTACATGATAATCTCCTCCTGTCTTTCAATTACTGCCCAAGAATGCTGTTTGTCGTCTTCACAGCATTCATCAGTGATGTCGTGGTGAAACTGTAAAAAATTACTGTTCACTGAGTCATTGTGTAAAAAATGATTTGTGGCTTGATTCAATTTTAGATACTCCAAAACTTTCATCCCAGATTGCTGTGCGTTAGCCCAGGATGATGTCAGCTCCAAGAGGAGATTGGTCCTTCTAGTTGCACAGGCTTCACGTGTCCAGGGGTGACCACAGCTTGTCCTGTGATGCAAATATATCCATTATTAATAAATTTCACACAAAAGCCGGACAATGACGATGTTAAACCTCGGTTCTTTTAAGGACATTTGTAGTTTTATGGGGGCTGTGTGTGGTACTGATGAAGAGCTAAAACTTGTAAGACACTTGCTGTGATGATTTCTTAGTGAAGCAAGTCCACTTATGACCTAGCCTACATATTTGCCCTAGACAGGGGCTCAATTAAAACAAACAGTTAACTTAAGTTAAATGTCCTAAACTCTAATAAATGAATAAATACTAATAATAACATGATAATAACTAATAATACTTAACAATAAAAATAACTTTTCTAACCTAAATGTTGTGTTTAGAAAACTATATTAACAATTATTAATTATGCCACACTAGAAGTAGTTAAAGTACTAAAATCACCGCCACTTCATTAGGTACGCTTGTTAAATACTCCCACCACTAATATCCAGTCAGCCAAGCACATGGCAGCAACTCAGTATTTAGACATGTAGACATGGTTGAGAGAACATGCTGACGTTCAAGCTGAGAATCAGAATGGCAAAGAAAGGTGATTTAAGTGACCTGGTTTAGGAGCATGAGATGGTTGTTGGTGCCAAAAGAGCTCAGCTGAATATTTTGGAAACTGCTGCTGGGATTTTCCCACACAAAAATCTCCAATGTTTACAGTGAACAGTCAGAAAAAGAGAAAATAGTTGTGTGAAAAAGTCTTGTTGATGTCAGAGGTCAGAGGAGAACGGCTAGACTGCGCTGAGTTGATAGGAAGGCAACAGTAAATCATATAAGTGTCCTTGAATGCACAGCACCTTGAAACAGATGGGCTTCATCAACAGCATAAGACCACACCAGGTTCCACTCCCGTCAGCTAAGAACAAGAAACCGAGTCCACATTTCACACCTGCTTACCGAAACTGCACGACAGAAGATTGGAAACATGTTGCCTGGTCTGCGGACTCTGATAGTAGGATAAGAATTCCGGACTACACGGACACATGGATCACTCGCACCTTGTATCAATGGTTCAGGGTGGTGCTGATGGTGTGGGCAAATATTTTACTGGCACACTTTGGGCCCCTTAGTACCAATTTAGCAACATTTAAAAGCCACAGACTGCCTGAATTTTGTTGTTAACCATTACCATCCCTTTAAGCCCACAGTGTACTGATCTTGTGATGGCTGCTTCCAGCAGGATAACACACTGGATATGTTTATTATCAAACTGTACCAGCTATAGCTGATATTGTTGGATAAACCGACCTGTATTATGTGGTCACATTAAGTAGTTAACTAAACAGACACTACTTGACTCAATAACTCTTCATTTCCCTCAGGTAACATATTATTGAACTACTTGTGTGACTACATTTGGTTCACTATTGCCTAAAACAAAACAAATACACACAACAATTTGTGATCGTCTTATTGCAACACGTGGAAACTATTTCACATTGTGCAGCCAGTGTTAATGCAGCTCTTCTTCAGTCAGTATTGCTTCAGCCTTACAGGCTGTGGAGACTGAAACTTTCCCTCTGTTGTCTGTGCCACCGAGTTCTCAGGCAGGCCAAACATTTCTTCTTACAAAACTGCCTAAACCTGGATGAAAGCATGCGATCAGATTCATATTGCCAGAAAGTAGTGCACAAGGACTCTGATGAATACTGTTGAGGAAATCACTGCCCCTCAAACTGAGCATCTGGAAGACTAAAGAACTAAGCAGATATTTCAGTGTAGAGTCTAAAGCCAACCTTAGTCACACGTAATATACCACCATCCTCCCCTTTATGTTTTGTTTCAGTGTTTTTTCAGAGTTTACTTACATGGGAAAATCCATCCAGTCTTCTTACCTCGGCGAAACTTATAACCCTGCTTTGCCAGGCTCTGTCTTAATTTAGGATCTCCAGACAGATAAAGCCTCATAACCTGATCTGTTGCACTACATTTTTTCACCCAGGCTGTCATTTGTCACTACGTAGCTCCTCCTTCCAGTAATACTCAGGTCTTTGCGGCTATGACCTAAACACTGCTGAAGAGCTGCTTCTTTTATTAAACATCAGCCCTCAGGAGTCTTTCCTCATAAAAGGACAGAGTTATTTATGTCATCTGCTCCCATGTATGATATATTTCAGTTAAAACAGCTGTGTGGTGCTTTTCACTCTGTAATTTTAAACAACGCTGACACATTTTGTATTTGTATTTTTAATCTGTCTTCTAGGTGTTTTCCTTCCTGTGGTTTCAGTTGACGGAGGTAAGCGAGTACAGGCAACTTGATTTTTTTTTAGAACTAATTTGCATATGTGCTCGTTTATGTGTGGCGCTTTTCTAACTGTGTTTTAGAAGACATTTTTTTAAATTTTCAATCAATCAGTCAATCAATCAATTTATTTATAAGCACTTTCAAAAACAACACAGGTCGACCAAAGTGCTGTACATAGTAAAAAAGTAAAAAGTAGATCAAACACACAAAAAGAACAAAACAAAACTCTGTCACAATTAAGAGTAAAAACTACAGAGTAAAAATGTGTTTTCAAATGGGTTTTAAAAATGTCAAGTGTTGGAGAGATCCTAATTTCAAGAGGCAGACTGTTCCAAAGTTTGGGTGCAGCAATCGCAAAGGCCTGGTCTCCTCTGTTTTTTTTTAGCCTGCTTCTAGGGACAACTAGAAGCAACTTATCAGCTGACATGAGTTCTATTAGGAGTATTTTTAGTTAACAGATCATAGAGGTATGACGGAGCTAATCCATTTAGAGATTCAAAAACAAGCAATAAAATCTTAAAATCAATTCTACAACATATTGGAAGCCAGTGTAAATGAGCCAAGACTGGGGAAATATGGTCATGTTGAGCGCCTGTCAAGATTATTCATTTAATTTTGGGGGGATTTTTTCTTTCTTTTTTTGCTGATAGATTTTGGCCTTCACTCTTTGTACTCAGCTATCAGGCCGCTCATACAACTTGTTAGTTTTAAAGCTTCCGAGTTTAATGGAAGAAAGTATTTTTTGCAAAATCCAAAGCTTAAAAAAATCGAGGAAGAGAGTAAGTAAAGTGAAAAGTCCTTTCCTGGTTCTGTCTTAGATCATCAAGGTCAGTAAACTCATATGGTGCACGTTGCCACAGCCAGAGGTGCCAGACTGCAGCGTTCTCATTCAAGAAATCTGTGTATCTTCATTTGAGACGTAACATTCAAGATCTGACAAATTTCAAACTGTCAAAGCAAACTTTATTGTCATCCCAGTTGTATATAAGTATACAGAGAGATGAAAGAAGCTGAAGGTCCACAGCGTACACATACACATTATGCAAGTAGAAGAAGACAAGAACAGTGCAAGTATGACATACAAAAACTCAAATTACAGGTATCTTGATAATATGGCTACAAAAGCTGTTTGTCTTGTTGTATATTTTTCACATTAAATTAAATTCCTCTCACACTGACTGCATATCTTGTCTTGTAATAGATGTAATGAATTGATTGTCATCTTAAGAAATTTTAAGAAAGCAAGAGAAACTATGGCTCCAGTCCATATATAGGCCCCAGTGTTCACCCATACAGGTGACATCTCCCTTAGAAAGTGTTAAACCTACTTATTTTGTGTCACACTCCAAGAGTTTTCCAGTTTTGCAAAGAGGAAGTAACCATAAACATCAGCGGTTGCTGCATCTCTTTACACTCTGGAACACAGCAGAGGTAGGGCAGGTGGGATTAATATTGGTAATAACATTCAGACATTTTTGGCTTACCTGGAGATTTCGCTCCTCCATACATGGTACATTTTGGATAAGTCATACCGACTTATCCAAAATGTACCGTCGAGTCTACAATTAACTCAGCTGACACCTTTCTACATCATTCTGGTCATGTAGGAGATTTAATTCATACCGCCTGAATTATTCTGTCATAGACAAAGACACTCTGGCCCTTGTGTGAGCACTGCAACATTGAGAAGTTTGTGTGTTCCTCTTGTGGTCTACACAGCGCATAGCCCTCTAATTTTTCTTCCGCTCATTGAGTTCCCCAAACTGCAGACTGATGTGTCGATTTCTCACCTTCCTCCGCGCGGTCCAGCATCGCATTAGTGTTTTCAGTCAAATCACTTCAAACTATTTTGATTTATAAACTATATTTATAAAAACCCCTCCGAGGGTGCCAGGTGCTAGCAGTGAAACTGGCCTTCACTGCCAGCAAGGAGGGTTTAGATCTAATATAGAGTAAACTTGTGTGTTCATACACAGATATCAAATGTAAAGGATTTATTTGAAACTTTGCACAATATAATTACTGAAAATAATAACAGCAATAGGTTTTTGTCCTAATAATTATAAACATTTAATGGTACAGAGGAAATCAGTTAAAGGTTAAGTGTGGGACTGACAGACAAGCTTGTCTGAGCCTTAGTTTTCAAAGCATGTAAAATGTGCAGGAGCTACTTTGAAAACTTGGAATACACCAGTTACAGCTCACACTGATGCAGAGGGACGCACTAACATATAAAACAACCAGGCAGAGCATGTGTTACAGAGTGAACCGGGGATTTTAAAGCATCAGGAAACGACTTCTCACACATACACAAACAAGCTAAGTGAGGTTAGATGGTGTTGTTGTGGTCACTGACTAATACCTGTTAATACCGTCTAGCCACATGATTTTTTTTTTTTTTTT